GAATCCGTTCAACACTTTTTTACTAAGAGAATTTTAACCCCAGAACACCGACATTTGTCTTACCAAGAACGTTGCCGGCTTACAGGCCTCGATCCTTTATGGTTCCGTAGATTACAAAAGGGACTATTTTTGCTATTTAAACGCTTATATAATCACACATTTAACCCACTCACCTCTTTAAGACATCATATGCACCCACGACGTAACAGTCACCGTGAGGTCTTTTTATTTCTGCCTCTGGTACGAACTGTTAAATATCGTCGGTTCTTTTCTGTAAATGCAATTGCTATTTGGAATAAACTACCCATGAGTGTGAAAACTCTGCAAAATTATCCTTTATTTAAGAGAACTATTACTCGACTTTTGCATTCAGAAAAGTTCCCACAGATTTTGTGTGCTGTATCTACTGATCGACTGTACCGTAGCGATGGCGTTTGTGGTCTCTGAACACTATGGCCGGTCTCACCAGCTGTTCCTCAACGCCACTACTTTGACTATCCCCAACTTCATGAAAGGAATTTGACGTCCGATAATCTCCGATACCGTGCAGCCTCCCCCCTTCTTGACGGTCGATATTCTACCACCGCCGGCAGTTTTTTCCCCTGAGCCCTCCAAACCACAAAACCACCATCAACTATATTTTTATCCCTTAAGCTCAGGAGTTTTTTTCACTGCTGGTCGGATTTGTGTTTAATCGCTTCCCTTGACAATGCCTGTAAACTGGCATTAAATAAAATTTATTTATTTATATTTATATATTTATATAGATTGGTTGAGCGAACGAGCTATACTTGCAACTAAGAACAAAGGTGCGTACCATCTTAATCATATCATTAATTGTAGGATTCAAAGCGAAGCCGTCATGTACACACCGTGGACAATGTTGTGGACTCAAACGAGACAGTTATACATCCAAAACAATTTTCTGAATTTACATGATCTGCCGCGGAAGCCGCCGCACGGAATCCAGTTGAAAGTCGGCGTATGTATATATGTACATGTGAAAAGATAAGGCGATCAAAGGAACCATGGATTTATTTGCCTGACGTTTCAAAAGCAAACAAGCTTCCATCATCGGAGGTGAGTTGCGTACTGCACGTCACAGTATTTAAAGGTTTTATTTCGTGCTGGTGTATCATTGACATCCAGCGCGCTGCATCACAAGGCCTGCCGATTGTTGTCATGGCGGCATCGGTTTCTCCTCATCCTTTGTCGGGTGCGGGGAGGGGATCGGCGTCGGAGTGACCGCGGCCATTGCTCTTGTTTGCATTGTCTGTTGTCCGCCCTCCACGTACCTCGCCTTCTTACCCCGTTCGCACCTGCCCGTAACCGCGTGGACGTACAAGCCAAAATTTTGGGCGCAGTATGTGGACGACACTTTCGTCGTTCAAAAACGGGAAACGGTCTCGAATTTCCACGCGTTACTGAACTCTGTTCTTCCGGATATTAAATTCACCATGGAGACAGAGAACAACAATCGGATCGCGTTTCTAGACGTTCTGTTCCATCGCAAGGTCAACGGGAGCCTAAAAACGACGGTCTACAGAAAGGCTACTAACACTCGCCTAGTCCTGTCCTACCACATCAATCACCCGCTGTGTCACAAAAGAAGCTGTGTTCGGTCTCTTTACAAGAGAGTTGACACTCACTGCAACGAACCGGCCGACAAGGTAGCCGAACTCCACTATATACGGCGGATGTTCACCTCCAACGGTTAGCTCCGCAGCTTTATAGAACGCAGCAGACTGTCCAGACCAACCATAAAATCAACGGCAAGTCAGCCGAAAGTCTGGCGAGCGCTAACATATGTTGCGAACGTTTCCGAGGCAGTTCTTCGCATCTTGCAACCATTAGGTACCGGCATCGCCCACAAACCAGAAGCGACAATTAAACGTCTGGTCATGAGACCAAAAACGCCTCTGTCACGAAGCGAAATTGCTGACGTCGTCTATTGGATCCCGTGTAGTTCCTGCGAGGCCAACTACGTTGGAGAAACCGGGAAGAGATTGCAGACCCGTGTGTACGAGCACGCAAGAGCGATACGAAGAATGGACCAGCTCTCGTTGGTGGCAGAACATTGTGCAGCTTTTGGCCACGCCTTCGCCTTCCAAGACGCCGAGGTCTTGGTCCAAGGGAGCTATCAAACGGTCAGGGAGACGGTCGAAGCCTGGCACACCACAACTACCTCGATCAACCGCTGCGTAACTTTGCCGGCTGCCTACCAAGCCCTACGGGTGGAGTTCAATTGACAGGGCTACCGACGAGACGCCAGGCCGGAGACGGCAGTAACCAAACCCAGAACAAGCGGGAGCACGGACGGGCATAGAT